CGGAGGAACAGGATTATTAACTTATTAACTGCTGTCATCAGCTGTTACGCTTGTTTTGGAGAAGAGGAGACTTCGGCTCTGTGTAAAAACATGCTGACTGATGAAAACAACAACTTCGGACGCAATATTTAGCATAACTCAATCAGCTGTTCGCTGTAAACACACTGCTACACGCTGGCTGCTGTTTCCAAGCAATACATTTAATGCCGACGTACGATCTCAGGCGGACGTCGGCGAGAGAGAGCAGTAGTAGAAAAACACCCGTCATTCTGCAGTTAAAGCCAGTAGCCTCTACTCGCCCATTCAGAAATTCACTGCAAGGCAAGCCCCACCCCCTCAAAGTACTTTCGGAAAGTACTACCCCCTGAGCAGGGACTTCTGGGGGGTAAAGATCCTAGAACTAAATTTAGACCCTGGAAATGCAGTGAGTTCCTCCAAAGGTTCCTAGTTCCCGGGTATAGTTCCTTTGATCGAAACACGGCTTAACGTAAGGGTGTAATGGAAAAAAATCCTGAAATGTTTCACTAAAAGCTACTGTGGTCTAACATGGATGACATGCACTGAGATATGTGGCCTGGAGGCTTGCGAGAGTGATAGCAGAGTGCTAATTCAGTTGTATGTCGTCCATAATTGCTTCATGACGCACAGTTCAATATGTTATGCAGTTTTGGGGTCGCGGTATGGATCATGCTTTCGGTAAAGCAGGTTAAAATTGGTTTTTTTTGGGTTTTTTATGAAAAACACGACAAGTTGTTCAGGGGCATAATTACCGCTGTAAAAATAATAGCGCTAAAATACACACATGATCACCTGGTAGAGCAAAAAGTAAGGCAATACTGTATTTTGTGTTAGTCCATCTTAATGGCATCTTCAGTCCTCCATGCCCCATCCACAGGGCACAGCCTCCAGTGCTCCACGTTGAACTGATACTTCTTCTGATACATCAGGTCATACAGTAGGGCATGCCAATGCAAAAGTCCGGCACTGAACGGCTCAAAAACATCACATGCAGCACAACACTTCTAAAAGCTCCTTGTTCTCTTTCAGAACCTGAAGGATTGTAGAAATGTTTTGCATGAAAATAACCAAATTGCAAGATTGTAGACATTGGCAACTTATTTTCTGAAAATATATGTATGGCCTTCAGCTCAAACTGGTATTAGTCATTAAAACAAATGACAACGGACTGTGGAGGCTTTTGAGTTACATGGTGGCGGCGCTGAATCTCCTCAGGGAGAAATTCTTTGTTCTTTCTCTGCTCACCAGCTTTCTCTAAATGGACTATAAATGTATCGGTCACAAAAGAAAAGAGGTTTAAGACAGCTGTAAAGATCCTAAGGAATTATCAGATCGTCTCTTTTAATAAAAAAGTAACTGTATTCTGATTAACAGTGTTTAACATTGTCTGGCAGTAAAATAAGGAGGATTATATAGCCTGGTGGTTTTTGTAATATCTCTAAAATATGAGATCCAGATTTTTATTGTGTCATTTTTCCATCGAAGGTCAAAAGTCAGGTCGTTAATTGTTTGTGGAACTATTTCTGCGAACAAATGTATCGTTAAAGCTTTAAATGAAGTCAGCTCTCTGTGCTTAAGAAAGCAGATCAATATATGAGCAGACTGCTGCTGTAGTGCTGTCGTTGCAGTGCAGTGTGAGAGAGCCTGTTCTCTAAAAGCATCCCTGCGTAACGCACCTAGAAACCACACACACCAACTACACACAAACCTTGGTAATAACAACTGGCTTTGTGGTGCTGCTGGTGTTTGTGCATTAGTCGTGTAGCCTGTTAGCGGATGACCCTTCACCTGAGATCCTGTGGGCCTCAAGGCCTCACTGACACAGATACAGGTTTTTGTTGTTGTGGTGGCTGCTGCCATAGTGACACATTCATATTGTGTGGGATCAGTATGTACCACACTATGAGTTTTAATGATAATTTTGCAATACGGTTATTATTTGTATATTTTTTTCAAGTATTTCAAGTATTCAGTATTATAAATATTATATTGAGGTAATGATAGTAATGATTATCACAATTTAAACACCCAGCAGTTACTGTAAAGAAACCTTACATATATACATATATGTATACTGTATATATATATATATATATATAATAACTAGTAACTATATATATATATATAATATGTTACTGCCACATGAAAGGAACAGCTGCCTATTTTTAATGGTATGGCAAACATTTTCATAGTTTTTCATTTATATTGCCCCAGTGTTGACAATTATGTGGGCACCAGATTTTTGTTGTCTGATAAAATAGTCAAAACGTAGTTCAAAGTAATACCCAGTTAATGCATTCATTTTCGAGAGCTTTTACTCAGGTTCAAACCCCGAGCCTTCTTGCTGTGAGGCGCCACCTTTAGTTTTACTCACTAGTATGTCATGTCTACAGATTGTTTTATTGAAGGACATGCTTTTCATATTAAGTGTGAGACACCTTTGTCATATTTTGGTACAATGTGATTCTGACTCTAAAGGAGGGACTGACTGATTTGGAGGCTGTGTATCAAAAGAATTTGCATCCACAGCTGTCCAGATACCTGCCTGTTTCCTGGATGATTGGTCTATTGAAGCACAACAACTGCACCAAGCAGCGCTGTGAACATAAAACAGCAGTTTTCTTTGTTTAATTACACAATCTTTTAGGGTGGGTTGATGTGTTTCAGGCTACAGTGTGACAGCTTTTCAGAACTTCTTTTTCTCTATATGAGACCTGAGCGCGTGCTGAGCAGGCAGGAGGGTTTCACTTACAGCAGCCTAACAACTGGTCTGCATCAGGTCTGCGTGTAGAAAATGACAGACAGGCAGCCTGTCATTAACTGCTGAATTGATGTTTGTCACACACTAGAATGCACCACTGAGTCTGAATGCTCGCAACACAGGTTGGTTATGTTTTAATGTCAGGGAACTGAATGCTCAGATGATACAGGGGAACAGTGATGATGATGAAATATGGCATGTAAGGAAAAATATTTTATAGCACAGACTTGATGTCTCAGAATATTTAATGATTTAAATGGAGGAATTTGTCTTTGGTACATGCCGTGCAGCAGCTTGTCCCTCCATGAAGGTTCTTCGTCTTCCTTGTCCTCACCCTTGGGTTTCTGCTGCCTGAGGTATTCACTAAGCCCTTCATCTTTCATCCTGGACAGTGGTCTTGACACTCACTAGCACTCGGCCTCCCTCGCTACTCTTGGTGTACAGACTCATGGTGCTGATTTGGGGTGAAACCCTCCATGTAGAGGAGGTGACTGATGGTTTTGCCACTTCGGAACTGGTATCCATAGCCAGTCTTTGTGATGATCTGGCTGAGGGGGTTCAGGCCTATGCAGAACAGAAACAAACATTTCCATACCCAGTGCAGTTTTATTTTTCCCCGTGGTATAACTTTACACCACGTCCAGCTGAAGCAATGAACATTGATACTGGATGCAAATCGCTGTTGCAAAACTGTTAGGTGTTTGTAGTGTGTTTGAATTCATTAGGTTATTGACTACAGTTTGTAATCTGCTTTCTAGCTGCAGTGACAAAATAGTATAGTTTTAAAAAGCAATACAACATTTACAACATAAACAGTTTTCTTGGTTTCGTGGTTGAGGGCAGGAACACCTTTCCTTCTGCCTTCCTGCTCTGGGTGTGAGCAGTGCAATCAGATTTGGGGCTTGTTTATCGACCAGGAAGGAGTCTGTTAATGGATCTGGGATGTTTGCAGGAGCTTCCTGCTGGCTGTAAAGCAATCCAGCCGCAGCAGCCGGAAGGAGTCCGGGTCTGACTGTGTCATCACAACGAAACTGAAACCATGAATGAAGATGGAGAGAGACAGAGACAATAGATTTTCTTCATTTTCTTCATTGTGTTTTGTGCAGAGAAGAGAAGCATTACGTATATGAAACAGTTTTGAGAAACACTTTAAGAAATCATTTTTATGTGAAAAGGATTTAAATTTTCCAAATTGTATACCAGAAATCTGAGTAGTTACACACAAAATACAGAAGAAGAAACTGGGAGATGGAAAAAGGAAAGGACAGGAGAGATAGATGAGATGTTTTTTTTGACATGGTGGCAAAGCTACTTCATCACGTCGAGTTTTTTCTCTCCGTCTAGATTTTCCCAGAGTCTCCATATCTGGGTCATTTTAAAATAACTTGAGGACTAGCTGAGCTCTGGTGACATGTTCGACAGCTGCGAGCGTCTAACAACCTCAGGCTCACTTTTATTTAGCTCTTAGTGTATGTGGTAGTTTTACACTGAAACTCACTGATCACTGTCTTGACAATACAACACATGAGAAAAAACATCCTGGCTATATGCAAATCCAGTTTCTGCCTCTAAAGGAACTTGTGAATTTGTGTTTTCAACATGGGAATACAAGATATGTTTGCTGTTCACATAGTTAAAGACACGGTTACACAGTTGCTCTGCAAATGACAGCAGAAATGCAAAGCTTGTTCTTTATTAAAAAGCATTGAATATGATTTGAAGCTCAGGACCAAGGAGCCTGTCACTATTTTAGTGCATCATCTCCAAACTTTATTTTAGAAGGCCGACTTCTGTTCCATCAGGAAAATAAAGAAAGGAATGCACTTGACTCGTGGCATTCACATTAAATCCTTTAATATATTATATTAATGTCCTTCAGGCTGCTACATGCCAGGAATGCAGCTTCATACACAACTGACAAACAAGGATAAGCATTCACCAAGTCTCTTCTTGCACTTTTCTCTCATTAACTAGTAGTTAAACTGAAATGTACAGATGTTTCGGACTCTGACTTCACTAGATTTCTATCTCTGACCTTATGGACATCATTCTGAAATCGTCACGATACTGATAATATATAACAAACATGTAACAAAAATGTTAGCTCTGTGCAAATAAGTTAATTAATACAGTGTATTGTGTAACCCTAAAACTGTGTGTGTGTGTGTGTGTGTGTGTGTGTGTGTGTGTGTGTGTGTGTGTGTGTGTGTCCTCCCCTCAGTGTCTCAGATGGTGATTGAGGAGGTGAGCGTTCTGCAGACTCAGCTGGAGATCGAGAAGTCGTGCCGGGAGAATGCAGAGGCCCTGGCCACAAAGGTCAGATACACACACGCACACACTAAATAATCAATACTACAAGATTTAGTATTATGAGGGTCCAGCTGGCACTAGCAGGAGAAGGGGGTGAACAGCTGAGTCAGGATGACTCTGCCCAGAGACAATTTGACTACATTATCTGTCTGTTACTGCCTCCACTGCAAAAACTGTGTGCTTATATTAAAATTTAATAATATGCAGATGTATTTACAACTAGGACATAATTTATGAATGTATATGTACATAATATTTGTAACATTAATGAATATGAAAGAATGAAAAAAAGATTCTATAAACTCTTCAATGTGCAAATACTTTCACTACGATGATTCTGTTTCTTAAAGGAGAAATTTTCTGCATGTATAGTTTTAGTCATTGACATTGATCCCTCTGAACGTTGACCTCCAGCTGAACTGCGAGAACAGGAAGTTGAAGTACCTGAGCCTGTCGTCACGTCCATGTTTGGACGAGCTGCTTCCCAGCATCTCAGACTGCATCGCTCTGGACGCTGACTCGGATGCAGACACAGCAGACGGAAGCCCTGACACCTTCACGCAGTACCAGCAACAAGTTAAAGGTACAATACGTAGAATTATATTCACACAGTGCCAAAAACAGGTTAAAGGTACAATACGTAGAATTATATTCACACAGTGCCAAAAACAGGTTAAAGGTACAATACGTAGAATTATATTCACACAGTGCCAAAAACAGCTTAAAGGTACAATACGTAGAATTATATTCACACAGTGCCAAAAACAGGTTAAAGGTACAATACGTAGAATTATATTCACACAGTGCCAAAAACAGCTTAAAGGTACAATACGTAGAATTATATTCACACAGTGCCAAAAACAGGTTAAAGGTACAATACGTAGAATTATATTCACACAGTGCCAAAAACAGCTTAAAGGTACAATACGTAGAATTATATTCACACAGTGCCAAAAACAGGTTAAAGGTACAATACGTAGAATTATATTCACACAGTGCCAAAAACAGGTTAAAGGTACAATACGTAGAATTATATTCACACAGTGCCAAAAACAGCTTAAAGGTACAATACGTAGAATTATATTCACACAGTGCCAAAAACAGCTTAAAGGTACAATACGTAGAATTATATTCACACAGTGCCAAAAACAGGTTAAAGGTACAATACGTAGAATTATATTCACACAGTACCAAAAACAGGTTAAAGGTAATATGCGTAGAATTATATTCACACAGTGCCAAAAACAGGTTAAAGGTACAATACGTAGAATTATATTCACACAGTGCCAAAAACAGGTTAATGGTACAATACGTAGAATTATATTCACACAGTGCCAAAAACAGGTTAAAGGTACAATACGTAGAATTATATTCACACAGTGCCAAAAACAGCTTAAAGGTACAATACGTAGAATTATATTCACACAGTGCCAAAAACAGGTTAAAGGTACAATACGTAGAATTATATTCACACAGTGCCAAAAACAGCTTAAAGGTACAATACGTAGAATTATATTCACACAGTGCCAAAAACAGGTTAAAGGTACAATACGTAGAATTATATTCACACAGTGCCAAAAACAGGTTAAAGGTACAATACGTAGAATTATATTCACACAGTGCCAAAAACAGGTTAAAGGTACAATACGTAGAATTATATTCACACAGTGCCAAAAACAGCTTAAAGGTACAATACGTAGAATTATATTCACACAGTGCCAAAAACAGGTTAAAGGTACAATACGTAGAATTATATTCACACAGTACCAAAAACAGCTTAAAGGTACAATACGTAGAATTATATTCACACAGTGCCAAAAACAGGTTAAAGGTACAATACGTAGAATTATATTCACACAGTGCCAAAAACAGGTTAAAGGTACAATACGTAGAATTATATTCACACAGTGCCAAAAACAGCTTAAAGGTACAATACGTAGAATTATATTCACACAGTGCCAAAAACAGGTTAAAGGTACAATACGTAGAATTATATTCACACAGTGCCAAAAACAGGTTAAAGGTACAATATGTAGAATTATATTCACACAGTGCCAAAAACAGGTTAAAGGTACAATACGTAGAATTATATTCACACAGTGCCAAAAACAGGTTAAAGGTACAATACGTAGAATTATATTCACACAGTGCCAAAAACAGCTTAAAGGTACAATACGTAGAATTATATTCACACAGTGCCAAAAACAGGTTAAAGGTACAATACGTAGAATTATATTCACACAGTGCCAAAAACAGCTTAAAGGTACAATACGTAGAATTATATTCACACAGTGCCAAAAACAGGTTAAAGGTACAATACGTAGAATTATATTCACACAGTGCCAAAAACAGCTTAAAGGTACAATACGTAGAATTATATTCACACAGTGCCAAAAACAGGTTAAAGGTACAATACGTAGAATTATATTCACACAGTGCCAAAAACAGGTTAAAGGTACAATACGTAGAATTATATTCACACAGTGCCAAAAACAGGTTAAAGGTACAATACGTAGAATTATATTCACACAGTGCCAAAACAGCTTAAAGGTACAATACGTAGAATTATATTCACACAGTGCCAAAAACAGGTTAAAGGTACAATACGTAGAATTATATTCACACAGTACCAAAAACAGCTTAAAGGTACAATACGTAGAATTATATTCACACAGTGCCAAAAACAGCTTAAAGGTACAATACGTAGAATTATATTCACACAGTGCCAAAAACAGCTTAAAGGTACAATACGTAGAATTATATTCACACAGTGCCAAAAACAGGTTAAAGGTACAATACGTAGAATTATATTCACACAGTGCCAAAAACAGTTAAAGGTACAATACGTAGAATTATATTCACACAGTACCAAAAACAGGTTAAAGGTACAATACGTAGAATTATATTCACACAGTGCCAAAAACAGGTTAAAGGTACAATACGTAGAATTATATTCACACAGTACCAAAACAGGTTAAAGGTACAATACGTAGAATTATATTCACACAGTACCAAAACAGGTTAAAGGTACAATACGTAGAATTATATTCACACAGTACCAAAGGTACAATACGTAGAATTATATTCACACAGTGCCAAAAACAGCTTAATGGTACAATACGTAGAATTATATTCACACAGTGCCAAAGGTACAATACGTAGAATTATATTCACACAGTACCAAAAACAGGTTAAAGGTACAATACGTAGAATTATATTCACACAGTACCAAAAACAGGTTAAAGGTACAATACGTAGAATTATATTCACACAGTACCAAAGGTACAATACGTAGAATTATATTCACACAGTACCAAAAACAGGTTAAAGGTACAATACGTAGAATTATATTCACACAGTACCAAAGGTACAATACGTAGAATTATATTCACACAGTACCAAAAACAGGTTAAAGGTACAATACGTAGAATTATAACACAGTACCAAAGGTACAATACGTAGAATTATATTCACACAGTGCCAAAAACAGCTTAAAGGTACAATACGTAGAATTATATTCACACAGTGCCAAAAACAGGTTAAAGGTACAATACGTAGAATTATATTCACACAGTGCCAAAACAGGTTAAAGGTACAATACGTAGAATTTATTCACACAGTACCAAAAACAGGTTAAAGGTACAATACGTAGAATTATATTCACACAGTACCAAAAACAGGTTAAAGGTACAATACGTAGAATTATATTCACACAGTGCCAAAAACAGGTTAAAGGTACAATACGTAGAATTTATTCACACAGTGCCAAAAACAGCTTAAAGGTACAATACGTAGAATTATATTCACACAGTGCCAAAAACAGGTTAAAGGTACAATACGTAGAATTATATTCACACAGTGCCAAAAACAGGTTAAAGGTACAATACGTAGAATTATATTCACACAGTGCCAAAAACAGCTTAAAGGTACAATACGTAGAATTATATTCACACAGTGCCAAAAACAGGTTAAAGGTACAATACGTAGAATTATAATCACACAGTGCCAAAAAACAGCTTAAAGGTACAATACGTAGAATTTATTCACACAGTGCCAAAAACAGGTTAAAGGTACAATACGTAGAATTATATTCACACAGTACCAAAAACAGCTTAAAGGTACAATACGTAGAATTATATTCACACAGTGCCAAAAACAGCTTAAAGGTACAATACGTAGAATATATTCACACAGTGCCAAAACAGGTTAAAGGTACAATACGTAGAATTATATTCACACAGTGCCAAAAACAGGTTAAAGGTACAATACGTAGAATTATATTCACACAGTACCAAAAACAGGTTAAAGGTACAATACGTAGAATTATATTCACACAGTGCCAAAACAGGTTAAAGGTACAATACGTAGAATATATTCACACAGTACCAAAAACAGGTTAAAGGTACAATACGTAGAATTATATTCACACAGTGCCAAAACAGGTTAAAGGTACAATACGTAGAATTTATTCACACAGTACCAAAGGTACAATACGTAGAATTATATTCACAGTACCAAAGGTACAATACGTAGAATTATATTCACACAGTGCCAAAAACAGCTTAATGGTACAATACGTAGAATTATATTCACACAGTACCAAAAACAGGTTAAAGGTACAATACGTAGAATTATATTCACAGTACCAAAGGTACAATACGTAGAATTATATTCACACAGTGCCAAAAACAGGTTAAAGGTACAATACGTAGAATTATATTCACACAGTGCCAAAAACAGGTTAAAGGTACAATACGTAGAATTATATTCACACAGTGCCAAAAACAGCTTAAAGGTACAATACGTAGAATTATATTCACACAGTGCCAAAAACAGGTTAAAGGTACAATACGTAGAATTATATTCACACAGTACCAAAAACAGCTTAAAGGTACAATACGTAGAATTATATCACACAGTGCCAAAAACAGGTTAAAGGTACAATACGTAGAATTATATTCACACAGTGCCAAAAACAGCTTAAAGGTACAATACGTAGAATTATATTCACACAGTGCCAAAAACAGTTAAAGGTACAATACGTAGAATTATTCACACAGTGCCAAAAACAGGTTAAAGGTACAATACGTAGAATTATATTCACACAGTGCCAAAAACAGGTTAAAGGTACAATAGTAGAATTATATTCACACAGTACCAAAAACAGGTTAAAGGTACAATACGTAGAATTATATTCACACAGTGCCAAAAACAGGTTAAAGGTACAATACGTAGAATTATATTCACACAGTACCAAAAACAGGTTAAAGGTACAATACGTAGAATTATATTCACACAGTGCCAAAAACAGGTTAAAGGTACAATACGTAGAATTATATTCACACAGTGCCAAAAACAGCTTAAAGGTACAATACGTAGAATTATATTCACACAGTGCCAAAAACAGGTTAAAGGTACAATACGTAGAATTATATTCACACAGTGCCAAAAACAGGTTAAAGGTACAATACGTAGAATTATATTCACACAGTGCCAAAAACAGGTTAAAGGTACAATACGTAGAATTATATTCACACAGTACCAAAGGTACAATACGTAGAATTATATTCACACAGTGCCAAAAACAGGTTAAAGGTACAATACGTAGAATATATTCACACAGTACCAAAGGTACAATACGTAGAATTATATTCACACAGTGCCAAAAACAGCTTAATGGTACAATACGTAGAATTATATTCACACAGTACCAAAAACAGGTTAAAGGTACAATACGTAGAATTATATTCACACAGTACCAAAGGTACAATACGTAGAATTATATTCACACAGTGCCAAAAACAGGTTAAAGGTACAATACGTAGAATTATATTCACACAGTGCCAAAAACAGGTTAAAGGTACAATACGTAGAATTATATTCACACAGTACCAAAAACAGGTTAAAGGTACAATACGTAGAATTATATTCACACAGTACCAAAAACAGGTTAAAGGTACAATACGTAGAATTATATTCACACAGTACCAAAACAGGTTAAAGGTACAATACGTAGAATTATATTCACACAGTGCCAAAAACAGGTTAAAGGTACAATACGTAGAATTATATTCACACAGTACCAAAAACAGGTTAAAGGTACAATACGTAGAATTATATTCACACAGTACCAAAAACAGGTTAAAGGTACAATACGTAGAATTATATTCACACAGTACCAAAAACAGGTTAAAGGTACAATACGTAGAATTATATTCACACAGTGCCAAAAACAGGTTAAAGGTACAATACGTAGAATTATATTCACACAGTGCCAAAAACAGGTTAAAGGTACAATACGTAGAATTATATTCACACAGTACCAAAAACAGGTTAAAGGTACAATACGTAGAATTATATTCACACAGTACCAAACAGGTAAAGGTACATACGTAGAATTATATTCACACAGTACCAAAAACAGGTTAAAGGTACAATACGTAGAATTATATTCACACAGTACCAAAAACAGGTTAAGGTACAATACGTAGAATTATATTCACACAGTGCCAAAAACAGGTTAAAGGTACAATACGTAGAATTATATTCACACAGTACCAAAAACAGGTTAAAGGTACAATACGTAGAATTATATTACACAGTACCAAAAACAGGTTAAAGGTACAATACGTAGAATTATATTCACACAGTACCAAAAACAGGTTAAAGGTACAATACGTAGAATTATATTCACACAGTACCAAAAACAGGTTAAAGGTACAATACGTAGAATTATATTCACACAGTACCAAAAACAGGTTAAAGGTACAATACGTAGAATTATATTCACACAGTAACAAAAACAGGTTAAAGGTACAATACGTAGAATTATATTCACACAGTGCCAAAACAGGTAAAGGTACAATACGTAGAATTATATTCACACAGTACCAAAACGGGTTAAAGGTACAATACGTAGAATTATGTTAATATTTGCTGTGGATATACTGTACATGCTCCTCAGAGGATGAATCCTAATGTGTTTGGTCTTTTCTAGAGATAACATCAGGAAATATCCAAATGTACTCAACGCATTCATGCTCCTCAGAAAATGCATGGACTTTTCTATTTAGGGAACTTGCTTTCTAATTGTAAATGAAAGGTCACTATTAATGTTGATTGTGCAGTGAAATTCAGAAATAAAAACTCTTTACCATGCTGTACGTGTTCATTTCTGTGTTTTGTCAGAACTGAGGGAGACAGTGAACAGCTTGTTGGAGGAGAAGAAGAATTTTGTCTGTCAGATTCACGAACAGCAGAGACGGATAGAAGAGTTCACGTCACAGTGAGGAGGACCAAGTCCTCTTCCTCTGTCTTCTTTGCTGTGGAGTTGTTTATGTCATCGCTGTCAGTCAAAATGTTATTGGTTTGACAGCCTATGAAAGGAAAACATTTCTTTGACTGTTTATGATCCCTGATTTTACTGACTTACTTTTCTTTCACTATTTGCAGTCACAGAAAGATCAGGCAGAGATGAAAGAGCTTCGTGAAACTGTTGAGCAACAAGGAAAAACAATCAAGAGATTCAACAGAGGTGAGTCACAACACAGCAGAAACACAGTGACCGAGGTTCAAACCAGTGATACAACAAATTCATTTAACGAAAATGAATTCTAAAACACAGCCTTCATTTAATTTAGCATGTAACTTCTATTTTTATGCTAAGGTCCAAAATTTAAATTACGATAAATGCAAAGATGCAAGAGAACATGAATTATGCATTGCGAATGAGAGAGACACTTGTGAGTTGAAACTTCTCAACTTCTCAACTCTCAGTCTCAACTTTAGTGAGAAATGTGCACTTATCCTGAGGCTTTCTGACTTTAATTCATGAACGCACAGAAATGAAAAAAGGAGAAAGGAGGAAAACTACAAAATAATGAATCTCCTTGTGATGAAAATGGGAATATTAAGTCTTGAAATAAGTTAGTATGTTAACATAAATTTACAGATGTTAACAAGGTAAACTGCAAAATGTTAGTTGTCATTTTAACATGCTAACATGTTGAACAATACTTGTTAACATAGGCTACACGTTAATGTGCAAACAGTCCTGTCAGACTTGAATACAAAGGACAGGTTGAAAAAAAAACATCAGTTGTGTCAATTCAAATGAGTGCTTATGTGAGTTTTCTTTGTCTCTGCAGTCTCCATGATGGCCGTCAGGAGTACGATGGGATGAAGGAGCAGCTCGACTTGGAGCAGAGCCTAAGAGTCAAAGCTGAGACTTACGCACACGAGGTACAATCACAGAAACACACAACTTGTTTGAACCTTTAAGCTACATTAATATGTTTTTGGCTACTAGGAGGCAGAAAAGACATCAAAACAAGCTGACAGATATGCTGCCATCACAGTATCACTGGTTTACATGTTCGAAAATAGTAGCTATTTAGTTCTCCAGCATACACAGATCAACATTATCATCACATTCCTCTGTCCACCTGACTGATCTAACTTCAATATTCACTCTCCTATTAGCTGTAGTTCGGTCTCTACCTGCTCCTGAGAAAGACATCCGGCCCCTGAGCTCCTTGTTGTTGATGAGAGCAGTTGTTTGTTACTAGAAGTATTTCCTTAACACATCACTTTGGCATTAAATTAAAACTAGTTCAGTATCAAATATAGTGATTAGTGCAGCTTCAAACTCAGATATTCCTCTCTGCATTATTTATTTTAGTCAGTTGGATGGAATCTTACATTTGTTTGTTTTAGCACCGCTACACAAAAAGAATAACTTGTGACTTAGGATCTAGCTTGCACCAAAATTGGTGGATTTTACCTGTTGAAGGGACAAACAATTCAAATGTGACATCTGTGGTGGAGGTTTTTTATCGTTGTTATGCTGCAGAAAGAGGCAGATTCAGTTTTCTATCATCCACAAAGCACCGCTTCAACTAATTGTTTCATGTGATGAACATGTGAAAAAATATTAGAGGTATCAGGGAAACATAATTATCACAGTATTCATAATCTACATTTCAGAGTTTCTGAGAATACGTTATGACTGGTATGCTTCAAATCTCTGAAGTGATCCAGTCTGAAGATAAAACTAATTGCTTTCCGTGAATTAAAAGCTATGAAACGATGCTACTGTTAGCCTCAGTGATAAAAGCTGACCTGCATTGCTGTGTTGGTGATTGATGTGTGTGTGTGTGTGTGTGTGTGTGTTAATAACCTTGTGCCTGATTAATGAATTGTCCTGAATCTGGTGGTTACTGACCTGAAAAGTGAAGAGCCTGCAGGATTTAAACAGACTGTATGTGATGAACTAACTGGGATGGAATTTTGGAAGTGAAAATGCAAATCTTTCTCATCATTCTCCTCCCTCCTCTCCTCTGTATCTTCTCTCCTTCTCCCCTGCTTTGTTTTGGCATTCTTCTTCTCCTCTTCCACGTCTCCCTTCTTCTGTTCTCCTCATCCTCCTCCTCTCCTCTTCTTCCTCACTCCCTCCTGCAGATGCTGGTGAAGCAGAAGGAGGCCAACAGGCAGAGTATGCTCCTGCTACAGAGTGCTGAGCCCAGCGTTCAGCTTCTGAAAGCTCTGGAGGATGTTGCTGCCATCACCAAAACCCTGGAGGAGGAGCGTCTGCAGCATCAGCAGAGGTAAACCCCAGAAACTTCAAGACTTTGACCAAAGATCATAAAAATTAAAATCTTGTTCTGTTCTCTGCTACAACTCTGAAATATTAAGATTCTGTAGCACTTCAGCCTTTTACAGTCACTCACACATGAGGTCTGCTGAAGTTGCATGCTACTTGTTAAGGTTATGCAGTAGTCATGTGACCTTTTGAGAGAGGACAAAGATGTTGATCAATAAACATAGACTCACCCTAATTGTGTAGCCATGGTGTACAGCACATCATACAATTGTGTGTGTGTGTGTCTGTGTGTAGGTGGAGAGCCTGCAGGCCCAGCGGAGCAGAGCTGTGTGAAGAAGCAGCTGGAGGCTCTGCAGAGGCAGCTGGAGCTGCTGGAGGTGGAGAAGAAGGAGGTGGACGGACGATTGGAGAAGGCAGAAGAAGAATGAGGAGCTGGAGAACAGAGGTGGGCGGAGGTGGAGACGCACACACATACGCCGGGAAGGGGTCCTCAGTTGGGTGTTACTTCATATAATTGAAAGGAGATAGGAGATATACACACACCCAGTACCAGCATAGTCACAAAAACACTTGTTCTGATTGGCTGGCAGTATCTGCCTGAACGTGGGTAATCTGAATACAAGGCAAGGCAAGTTTATTTGTATAGCACATTTCAACAACAAGGTAATTCAAAGTGATTACATAAAACATAAAAGCAATTTAAAAATGTTTTAAATGAGTTAAATAGAAACTAAAAATCTAAAAAAAGAAAAAGAAGAAAGTGAGAAAAAGGGAAATTGAAAAAAACATATACACTTTTCTCTTTTTGATACGCAGAAACGACATAAGAGACTGAAAATGATGGAC